TCTTTGTTTTTTTCTTTGTTTTTGTATTTGTATTTCCCTTTATTTGTATGCCGCCCTTTTCCCTGGGGGGACTCAGGGCGGCTCACAGTTCAAAAAGGGTGGGGGGGGAGACAGACAATATAGAGATGGCCTCTTTCGTCATCCAGTCAGACCTGAAGAGCCTTCTTGGATGAGAAGCAAAACATCTTCAAAGAAAAAAACAAAGAAAGTCCAGTTGCCTCTTGAAAAAGCACCTTTCGGACAATCATGACCTCTGGATGACTAATCTCCATAGACATTTGCCTTGAAGACATTTCGCTTCTCATCCAAGAAGCTTTTTCAATGAGAACTGAAGAACCTTCTTGGATGAGAAGCAAAACAACTTCAAGGGTGGGGGGGGGGGAACCTCAAGGAAAATCCAGTTGCATTTGAAGAAGCATCTTTGGGACAACCATGACCTGGATGACCGAGAATCTCCATAGATGCATCAACTACTCAATGCAATACAATTAAGAGAAATGAAACCATTCCTTTCCCCTGTCTTTCCTACTACATGCAGACAATTTTGTCCACTTCACAGCGCAGTTGAGAAGAAGTTTGCTGGCAAGTTGTTGTGCTACAAAATGAATTTTGAATCTTTGAATACCTGGTGGTGTTTTTCTTTCAGGCTTCCAATATGTCTGGAACATTTGGTGGTGCCAATGTGCCACAGGGAATGTATCCTCCGGCTCCTGGGGGCTACCCTTCTGCAGCTCCTGGAGGGTTCGGACAACCACCACCACAGGGTCAGCAGCCTTATGGGATGTACCCTCCACCTCCCGGAGGAAACCCCCCAACAGGGATGCCATCATATCCATCATACCCAGGTGGTCCGATGCCACCTGCAGCGGCCCAGCAGCCTCAACCAGTGCCGTATCCTGGGCAGCAGCCCATGCCAAGTTATCCATCCGGTCCAGCTGTTAATCCTTCGATGCCATCCTACCCAGGTTCTCCCATGCCTACCGTCACCCCTGGAGTAGTAAGGACCTTTTTCTCTGTATATTTTGGCAGTCTCCTTTTAGTAGGAAGGGGAAAGAGGAAGGATGTGGCATAGACTTCGTAGTTTCTGAGAAAATGTTGTTGTTGTTAGTTGCAAAATCGTGTCCAACCCATCGTGACCCCCATGGACAAAGTTTCTCTAGGCCTTCCTGTCCTCTACCATCCTATGGAGTCCATTCAAGCTCATGCCTACTACTTCAGTGACTCCATCTAGCCACCTCATTCTCTGTCGTCCCCTTCTTCTTTTGCCCTCAATTGTACCCAGCATTAGGCTCTTCTCCGGTGAGTCCTTCCTTCTCATTAGGTGGCCAAAGTATCTGGATCGGGATCTGGCCTTCTAAAGAGCAGT